TCATACTCGCCGTCAGGGCACTCGCTGATGCAGGGGCCGTTACGCAGTGGCAGGTTGGGCTCTCGTCGATGCCTGGAGGGGAAGGTGTGGGAGTGGAGGGGAGGATGGGGTAAGAGGCAAACACTCTTGTGAGGTGTTGAGGAACCGCGCACCGCTTCATCTTCTCAAGGACACGAAACTCATCAGAGGCTTTGAGGACAGATACACACAGACACACAGACACACACACACACACATTCAAAGCCAGCACAAGTAAACATACCATTGGCCCGTAATGAAGCTATCTTTGAGGACCCGCCGCACGGCGTTGTTCACCGTGTCCATTGTCGTGCGGGTTTGCTTCACAGCCTGCGCCAAGTAGCCGTTTGTGGTGAAGTAAGTCTCCCCGAGCTCCATATCTGCGCTGCCGTTCAGCGTCTTCGCGACAGCGTCGACGGAACTCGTGGGCGTACGTGTTGGCGTTGACCATGTTTGCAAATCGCACCACAGTCTGTTCCAATCGTCACCATGTCACGCTTCCACTGCCCGCACACGACGTCGTTGAGCAGCATGTTATTCGCACACGGCGAGGACACGCCGTTGATGCTGGCGTACGAGCACATGGCAGCAAGCGCCCGCGCTTGTACTGCACATGAGACACATGGCAGAGGGGAGCGGGATGAACATAAGGAAGTGGGAGGTGAGGGGATGTGGCAGGTCTGGTGGCGTGGACGAACTCACAAGAAATGTTGATTGGAGATACACGAGCTGACACAGACAGACAGACAGACAGACACACACAGACACACACACATGCACACCTCGGTGTCCCAGAGGTCAAAGGTGGAGATGTTCCCGTTGAATGCCATGCGGTTTGTCTCGACCGAGTGCGCGTCAACGTGCCTGAGACCTAAACGCGATGGTGCGGTGACAGCAGTGTAAATGACACGATCCCCACCAAGTGTGCAAATGAAACAGCGTCGCTGACACGGTTGTGGGCGTTTGCATACACACACGTGTGAATGTAGATGCGTGTGCGTACTTGCTGTCATTTTCTTGTACTTCCTGTCTGGGCCGTCCTGGCAGCCGGCCACGTAAGCAGCAGCATACTCGCGGCTCAAGAAGGCATCCCAGAGGTTGAAGGGGGGGGGGTGCAGTGAAGATGAGTGGGTGGGCCTGCAAAGTGTGTGAGTGAGTGAGTGGGGGTGAGTGTGAAGGGGGTTGGTGGCATGGGTGCAACTGTTGTAGAGTGATCGCCTGGGTGTGGTGATGTGCACCAGCGTCAGCTTCATGTGATGAAGGGTGCACCTGTGAGTCCGATCTTGCAAGATGCCGCCGCCCCTGTGCCAGTTGAGATTGTTGAAGGCGCGTATCTCCGTGGATATGACCTGGAAGCAAAGGACCGGTGGTGGTGGGACGAGGAGGGAGGGAATGAATGACCGGAGCTTTGATCAAGGAGAAGCCGATAGAGCAGGCGTAGGCACACACACACACACACACACACACACACACACACACACCACACACACACACACACACACGCACACACACACACACACACGCACTCGGTTGAAGGCTGCGCCAAGACCTGTGGGGCCAATGAACGTGGTGGCACACTTGTCCTGGCTGATGATGCACGCAGAGGCAACGGCCGTGTTCGTCTCCACCAGATACAGATACGGCGGGATGTCAAGCCTGCGACCCATGCACACACATGTGAGCATGAAGAAGGAGGTGATGTTGCTGTGTGAGCAATGGTGGTGGTGGCGGTTGATGCGGTTGTGGCACGAAGAAGCGGGGAGGAAAACATAAGCAGACAGAGTCACAAGTCACTGCGTGGGCGCTGCATGTCTTTTCCCACCTCTTGACGCCATTGTCAAGGAAGGCGCATGGACTGGTGACGGGATCGGGGCCAATGAGGCCGGCCTTCTCATGAAGGCTGAGGCGTCCAATGAGGTCGTCGAGGCGGGCACCAATGGACAGGCTCGTGTTGCAGAACGGCAACTCCCTCGTCGCTGCAGACAGGCACGCATGGCCTGACGAGGCAAGGTGCAACAGTAGTCACGTATGAGCAGAGAGAGAGAGAGAGTGTGTGTGTGTGTGTGTTTTGTGTGCGTGTGTGTTGTGTTGTGTGCGTGTGTGTTGGAATCACCTGTAGGAACGGGTTGCCGGAACAGTTTGCCCGGATGATGTTCATGCGATTGGCTGCTCCGCACATCTCGGTGGACGCCCCCGTGCATGGCTCGTTGCAGTCGGAGGAAGGCTGCACAAAAGTGTGTGTTGGGTGGGGGAGGGTGAATGCTGGTCGCGTACATGAGTGTGTGCACCACACACACACACACTTACACACACACATACACACACACACACACACACAGAGAGAGAGAGAGAGACACACACACACACACACACACACACACACACACACACACACACACACCGCCGAGACTGCGCGAGGGCATTCAGCTTGGGTGTTCGCAGAAGAAGCATTGGTAGCTGTACTCAACGGCACTTGAGTGAAGGTGTAGCAGAAGCGTGGCACACGCCTCACGCGTCATGGACGCCTGCGCCATGTTGCCAGCAAACGCAAACGTCTTGATTGTCAGCGCGGCGTGTGCAAGTGTGCGAGTGTGGGGGGGGGGAAGAGGTGTTGGTCAGTGAGAGCAGCGATGGGACGAGGGAATAAGCACGCAACTCGTTTCACAAACACACACTCACACCTTGATCTTGGAGGTTGGTGCATCGGACTTGAGCTTGGACGACGCTCACAGCCACGGCCACCAACCACAGCAGTGCTGTCACGCATCTTCCTTCTTGTCTTCTTCCCCACAAAACACAAACACAAACACAATTGTGCCGAGTCAGCACTTTCTGCTTTGTTGATGAAAGGGGTTCACTGCTGTGTGATGGAAGGCACACGCACACGCACGCACAGGCAGACGCACAGACGTGCACATGCACACACACGCAGGGGCGAACGGCTTGACAAGGAGCAGTGCTCTGCGTGGAGGAACGAAAGGGAAGGGGGTAACAACTGCTGTGCTGCTTGCGACCGGGACAAAAGCACGACAAGTGCATGGCAAGCAAGCCAGCCAGCAGGCAGTGAACAACCACAAGCAGGTCTCCTTCTTGGGCCCGTTTGCATACATGCGTGACACAAGCCACAAAACACAGTCGGTCAGCCCACCGTCCGGCAACAGCATCCAAGATGCACTCGGCAGGGCACTGGCAACTGCGATTGGGGTTTGGTGGCGTCGTCATCAACAACGGCCTCATCCACGGCATCCCTCCCTTTGATACAACTCCCGCCACCTCTGTGCCCATCATCAGCCCATCAACAACAGCAACAGCAGTGACAATAGCAACAGCAGTGACAGCAGCAGTGGTTGACACGACCACCATTAACAGTCTGCAAACCGATTGAGCCAAGTGGGCACTGCAGACGGTGTG